ATATATGATACATTTTTATTTAAATCCACAAAAAAAATTAGTTTTTCATTTTTTAAAGCTACTCCACCATCTGAACTCCATCTTTCAGCAAAGCTTTCTTTCTGCAATAACCACCAACCTACCAAATTTCAATGCCAATGGCAGAAGTCTGAGATAATGCCAAGGAACTGTATATGATTCCTTAGACTGGAAAATATTGGACACCTCTATTGGGGTAAAATATGCCTATGATTTCTATTTAGGTCCATGTATACTCTCTGTAGAACATAGATATGCATATATTGTGCTTATGGAAGTGCATACATAATGTGTCTATTCAATTGCTCTATATTGCGAAAGGTAGAGAGAAGGAATCTTTGTTTATCACTGACTGTTGCAACAGCACTTTCAAAAGTTTGTCCTGTCTGGAAAGAATAAAAATAACAAAGATATAAAACTTTTTATTTCCTTTTGTTCTTTTTTTTTTTTTTTCCTTCTTTCCTTGCACTATGTAGTGTACAAATCTTACTCTAAAGTTTTGAGGATTTCATCCAGCTGGGATTAGCAGTGTTGGTTTGATCAGCCAATGGCACAAATGAACAGAGTAATGAAAATGTGAATTCTAACTACATTGGTCACAAGTTCATGGATAGTGTTTGTATAATATTTTCTGATGAACTGTAAACTTGAGTTTGAGATACTGTCTTGTTGATAAGAGGGCTGTAATAGAAGTCTTTTATGCACAGATTTACATTTCAGATTCATATGGACTTAATGTGAAATGGTCTATCTGCATCACATGACAAATGAAGTAGAATAATCTTTAGAAGTAGTGTATGATCATGTATAAAACAATCTTGTAGTTTTCCAGTTTGTCATTTGAAATTAAGTTTCTAGATTTTTTGTTTTACTCTGGATTGCTAAGTCTTCAAAATTGAGGTCACATGGCATTTAAACAATGGACGACTCTTAAGATCACAGGGTGTTTTAGCAGTTACTGTCACTTGCCAAGGAAAAGAATCAAGTGACATGCCCTGAGGTGTCATTTAGTGCTGTGTTATAAAGCTGGCCAAGTGGTGAATCAAAGGCTTGCTAAGCCATTAGGGTATTAATTTATAAATTAAACCTATATACCATTTAAAACAGAAATTAATATCTTCAGAAGTAGGGTTTCTTAATAGCTTGCTGTGGACAAACATATTAGCTTTGTTTATCTGTAGAAATGAAAAATAGTCTGTATATTAGCTGCAGGGAAGGGCTTCTCCATACACTATGCTCCACAGTGCTGACTGTTGAATATTTGATATATGAATGCATATTTATATTCTGGAGTTTGAGCAGTGATTGTGAAGTCAGGCAGATTTAGTGCCTAAAATAGTTTATAGCCTCAGGGAAAAGTGTCAGTATAAAAAAAAAAAAAAAATTTTGTCTAAGTTCTTTATACACTGTGTCTTTTTTTTCCTTGTGAATCAAACTTGAGATAAAACAAGAAAAACAGTCACAATGTTTTTTAGATTATATCCATTCTGTTCAAAATCTCCATGCTAATGGGAAGCACAAGAACAGAGAGGCACAGGTTTTGGACTTGTGAAATATATTTTCCAATATTTCTCTACTAGTCTATAGATAAACATAACAAGACATAACTGAGACTATCACAGTGAAAATATACCATTGTATATCCTGCAGTGGTAACTTTTAGTTTAAAAGTCATCATAGTTATTGGTAGTTTAATTCTGTTACTGATAATTTGTTAAAGTTTTGCAATGGTGCCTCATTTGCCAAGTGAACTGAAATGCATGTTTCTAATTGCTCAGTGTATAACGAAATACAGAGTCATTTGGGAATCTCTCCTTCAGGGCTGAGGACTGATTTTTTTTTTTTTTTTTTTTTTAATTATATCCAGTGTCAGCACGATAACAAAGCCAACCTAAGCTGGTATGAATGTTCAGTTGCCTTTACACTCCTTCCTCTGCCCTCTGGCCAGGGGACTGATGCTGGCCTACTATCAACCCTGCAGTCACCAGCACACTTCTCTGCAGCCTGGAGAGAAGGAGTCAGCACTCAGGGGTAGCCTTCTGCACTCTCGGTAGCTGGTCACAGTAACACTGAGATGCTTGAAGGCAAGTCTGCTCCCAAAAGCAAAGAGGGACTGAGTAATTTTTTCCTAATTGGAGAAATCTAATTACATGCAAAGGAAAAAGGATGGAAACTAAGACAGCAGTAAGTCCTGCTTGTGGTGGTCTCATACAACACATCTTGAACTTGTTTAAACCTCAGTTTCAGCTGCACTAAGTTATTTGGGTCAGTTTAAATTCAGGATGCCCTAGAGACAATCATGACTCTTGATGGAAATTGTTATGAATAATGGGGCTATTTAAGTACAAGTAGAAAATATGTTCTCTGTTAAATCACTGTCACCTCAGGCAAGCGTATTATTCTCCTACCTCTTTCCTGTGACCTTCACCCTTCCCCCCTTATTCATTTGCTCCAAGGGCTGATGTGTCTTTACCACATTTAATAGGTCTTCTGTTGGCTACAAGTTGCATTGTAGGAGGTAAAAATTATTTTTCATAGTCCTTTTGCCTTTTTCCCGTTTGGGCTTAGGCTTTGACTAACTCCACAGGGGCAATCAGATTGTGAATATAATTTTTTTTTTTTTACATAATCACCCCTATCACAAAACCAAAAGGAGAAATATATACTAAGAAACAGCCACATATCTGTTCTGTGACCTAGTCGCACTGTCATTTATAAGTACTACTTTGGAAGTGCTCTACCATATGCTCATTATCTATGATCCCAGAAGGAAGATATGCCAGTAGATGACACTGTGTTTTATTTATTTCCTTGTTACTATGTAATTCACACTCCTTCAAGGTCAACAGGGAACAAAATATGGAAACTCCTGGAGACCCTTATGGGGACTCAATGAGGACTGAGGACCAAAGGATGTGTTAATTCTTCATGCATTGCATAATTGGCACAAATAGAGAGAAGCAGTAGACTCTTCCAAGACTATTTATTAACTGTTGCTTCCTGAAATTTTAGAAATTTTAATTCACTTCCCAGACTAGAAGAATGCGAGACATGTCAAAGTAAAATAGTTATAGTGCACTAACATCTTCTTCCTTCATGTCTTTCCTTCTTAAGCCTGTAATTTTTTAAAATTATATTAATAATTCCATTATGGGTGCAGAATAAAAGCCTTTACAAAATTGCTTCTGTGCATCCCTTCCAGTGCTGAGGTTAGCTACAGAGTCTGTGCATTAATCACATGAGATAATGTCAAGATCAACTTTGACTGCACACAGAAGGGCAGATTCAGATATCAAAAGCATTCGTTACTGGAACAGTCAAGCTTATCAAACCTGTTGCAACAGCACACTGAGAATCTGCTTTTTTATTAAAAAGTACTGCATCCAAGAAAATGTATTGCCATTAAAATATTTCATCTGCAAAACCCATAATTATAAATGTTAGAATAAACTATTCTCATTTCTGAAAGCACACCATGTCACATTAATTTTTGAACGATGTGATTTTTCTGCAGTTATATGGAGTCAAAAAGCAAGAACATTTAATTTTCATATTTCCAGATTAAGAATCAGAAAGACGTGGAAAGACTTTGTCAACTAAGCGCGTAGTTTTAATTGTGGCTGTTTCTATTCTTTCAGTCAAACATTTATTTTGGAAACATCATGGCCCAATACCTCATGAAGACATTTACTGCCAAGTGTTTCCCCTTTCATATAGTGTTGAGAGAAAGTTTATTTCTTCATGACAACAAGAGAAAATACTTGAAAAATTGAAATGCTGTCAACTATGTCCTGAAAGTTCTGTAACTATATATGTAAATTATTTTGCTAAATTATTTTTAATATTATTACTGTTAATATTATAATAGTACTTAGAATTCCAGATCAAGTGCTATCAGTGGAAAATAACTGTCTACCCCCAAAGGATTTACAGAAAATAGGTTAAGAGTTAATGTTAAGCATTTCCTTATTCCAATATACAAGTATTAGGTCACAGTATAGTCTTCTGATGTAAAACATTTTTCCGAAGTCTCATTATATGACAGGTTTAGTATAGACAGAGTCTGTACAAAAGACTCATAGAAATATATGCTGAACTAAGCCTTAAATGAATAAAAATAAACAAAATCAATACCATAGACATCTAACTCTGAAATCTTTATAGAAATAATCCCATTGGCTTTGATTTGTGTTTGCTTCATGGAGTGCCATAATTCTACTGCCAAAACTTCTAGTTGTGTTTAATACCCTGCAATAGAAAACGATAATATGATTTTTAGAAGGGAATAACAAAAAGTCAAATCAGTCTATAATGTGAGTGTATTATTTTATGTTTAAGACCTACAAAATCAAAGTTATAAATCTTAAGTAAGCAAATATAATTATAAAAGAGTTACACAAATAAATAAAGGTATGTCATTTTGAGAGGGATAGCCCAACACCTGTATTTTCCTCATTGGGATTTCAGCTATGGTAATTCAGTAATGGGCAATATCTATGAATAATCAGCTGGAGTCTTATTACAAGTGCTTGCATGACTAAGTTCCCTGTGGGGTTTGTCCTAAACAGGTAGTCCTCTGTCAGGTTTACCACACACAGCAAGGACATTTTCATTCTGGAACTATGTCTTGATGCAGACATTTTCATGTTCCCTGCAACATCAAGTCAGAGGTTGAACACAAGCCTAGGCATGCAGTAGGACACCTGAACGCAGTGCTGACCATGTGCATCAGTTATAAAAGATTAAGCTTATGGTATCTATAGGAATATCAGGTATTATATGTAACAATAATGGTTTCCTTGATTAAAAAAGGGAAAGCTGCCTTTGCTACCACATTGTCTTTATGATTCATTATTAAGCCTTACCTTGTAACAATTAAATTCAGTGAAAATATCGTTCATGTGCAGAATCCTCCACTTGTGCTATTTCTGTTACTATGCTTATGGTTTCAAAGGTCTTTTTTCCCTTTGTTCTTTTCATAGGAAATGATCTGTTTCTAGTTGCAGTGCATGAACTGGGACATGCTCTGGGCTTGGAGCACTCTAATGATCCCACTGCAATCATGGCTCCATTTTATCAGTATATGGAAACTGACAACTTCAAACTACCTAATGATGATTTACAGGGCATCCAGAAGATATACGGTATGTCATGCTCTAATTAAGCAACATAAGTTATTTGCTTTAGAATACATTTGAGGTCCTCAACATAAGTTATTTGCTTTAAAATACATTTGAGATCCTCCTGTCCATGCCACCTCTTCAAAAGAGTTTGTAAATGTAGACTCTGCCAGTTGTTATGCAAGAGGCCTTCTTGTCAGCAGGCCAAAGATTTTGATTGAGCTCTTTTACTTTGTTTCTGACTCCTCAGAACTTGCATTCAAATTTGCACTCAGCTGGAACAGTAATTTTAATTATTTTAAAAAGCCATAAAGAAAATATCTGCAAAAGGATCCCCAACTAAGAAAATATGATTGTGTAGTATTACGGTACTGCTAACTAGAACTCTGCAGCCTCCATGAAGTTTTATATTAATAAGATTTAAAAAAATATTATATCAACAAGCATTGATATATATTTTCATAAAGCATAGATAGCAATTTCAAAATTATTTTCTGATTAAATTTTGTTTATTTGCTTGGGTTTCTTTTTTCTGTGTGATTAGCTGGAAAGAAGGTTGTTTCTCATGACCTTTTAAGTTGTTAGTCTAGACTTAAGGGCTAGACAAGAATACTTTGCTGAAAACAAACTGCTAAGCTGTAACAGCTGTGGGCTATACATTAGGAGAAATGTGTTACCCCTGGGAATGATATCTGACATCACCACCAAACAGCACACGAAAATTTTAGTTTGGGGTTAAAAACTTTCCAATATGAACTACTACAAACTAGTTCCTTTGCTCCCTTTAAAATCAAGAGGTTATCTGGAATCGTATGCCTCAGTAAAAATGTCACACTTATTAAATTTATTACTTTGGTCTGCAGCATGCCTTGAAACACCATTATTAACTGTAAATTATAAATGTTGCAAGACTTAAAACTGTGAATTAAATAATTGCCTTATAAAACTGTATGACAATCATTTGACGAGTTTAGTATTTCCTTACATAGTCCATCTTTGTTAAAAAGTATAGATTTTTTTTAAAAAAATATCAAAATCGAATGCCATTTATGCAGTTTTAGAGTTGTTTTACTGTTCCAAAGATTCCTGAAACTGGTCATGCAAATGATATTTATTTTTTGAAGTCAAAATTGATTATGTATTTAAGTTATTTGGAGAAAAGCCTAAAGAGAATGCACAAAGTTGAAGTGTTCATCTTGTTTCCAGAAATCATACTGATCCACCTGAATCTTCTTATATTTTTCTAAATGGAAAATATAAGTAAATGTGGTATCCGTGTAGAAAGGGAAAAGCATTTTCGGTATGCCCATTGCAAGTCGTTCAGTATGCCATTAGGGTTACGAACAACGTCTGTCAAGGATGGCCTTTTGACTGTCAAGTAGAGAAACTATGAGGGATAGTTATTTATCCTGCCACCAAACTCTGTATATTATGACAGAAAATGTATTTCAAAGAAGAAAAACATTCTAAAACCACTGTACAAAGTTTTAGTTTTTCACTTTAGTTCTTTTTAATCCATTTGTCCTCAGAACAATTCCTCTAATTACCAGGTATCAAGGAATAATTGATTGCAGAATCTTGACAGAAACATGTTTGTCTATATGGGTGACTGGAATTTGAAGTGCAGTTTCATAAATTCCTATACATATCCAGGGGCATTGTGGAAAGCAGGGAATGTCCTGTCACTAATCCACATGGCATTTCTTAGCCTACAAATTGGATCAGTAGGTAATGTCAGGTATGCTACATACATACACGTGTGGATTGATGAGTGGAAGCTAAAAATATGGGTTGAAAATCCATTGACTGCTAATGATCTTATTAGAAACAGGATTGTTTTTTCCTTTATTTTCTACAACAGACAGTGATTCTGTTTCTAACAGTTCTTAGTTGGTAAAGTATGTGGTATGAATTGCTTCTCACCTGAAATGATGGTGGACTATGCATCTTTTGCATGTTTTATTGGAACACTGTCCCAATAAAGAAAGAAGATTCTGAATAGTGAAAGGTAATTATATTCTTAATTCCTGCCTTGGGTTTATGGTAGTCATTCATTATACCCTTCAATAATGTGGAAAAATATGTTAGGTCAGTTTTTCCATTCCCGTTGCACTGTTGGGTTTGCACTGCTTGTACCAGGCTTTTGTTGCGTGTTTCTTCTTTGAGTGCCACTGGTGAGCATGTAAATTACATCTTGCTGCTGTATTTTTAAAGGTCCACCTGACAGGATCCCACCACCAACAAGACCTCTGCCAACAGTGCCCCCACATCGTTCAATCCCTCCAGCAGACCCACGGAAGAATGACAGGCACCCTAAACCTCCCCGGCCTCCCACTGGTGACAAACCTTCCTATCCCGGAGCCAAGCCTAACATCTGTGATGGGAACTTCAACACTCTGGCTATTCTTCGCCGGGAAATGTTTGTTTTCAAGGTAGGAGGCTGTGAATTTTTCAGTGTTACATCAAATGTCTACATTTTTCTTTTTTATTTTTTTTTAAAGCAAACTCTCATTCATCATTACTCCACTTTCCCAGCCTGTTCATGGTTAGAAAGTTAAAGAAAGAAATTAAAAAATAAACATACACATGGCTTAAACATCTAGCAGAGGACTGCTGTAATAGTCTATTTTGGGAAAATACCCATGTCAGCAGAAACTGTAATGCCTCAAAATGTAAGGGTAAGTAAATGCTACATGTTATGAAAAGATAAAAAGTGTAAAATCAGCTCTTGAATAATGGGAATTATTTTGTTTGGAATACAACCACATCCAGACATACAGTAGATATTGTGTCTTCAACCCTTTTTCTTTCCCATGGAGCTATAATTTTAACTTTACAATTATATCTGTTGTTTACAAGCTAAGTTTGTCATTGTGTTGTGGTTGCATTGTAACCACAATACCTAAGTAAAGGTCTTTTCCACCAAAATCTTGTTGCAAACGTGTCATTGTTTATTTCCGTTCGTCTTCCTGCTTTGTGCCAAAAGTGTAGTATATGCAGCAAATCGAAATAAACAAACAACTGAAAGGCAGTCTTTCAATAGAAGACTCACTCTTTTGCTAAGACTCATGGACATCAAAACTGTCTTAGGACGATGATCTGCAGTATTGTTTCCAGAAGGCACTAAATGTTGAAGAATAATTCAGTAACTTCAACCAATTTGCTGACATGTAGTGCTGTGCAAATGTTCCAGAAACAAGCAACTGAATAATCTATTAATTTGAATTACTGGTGTGTCAAATTTGCTTAAGCAATAGGAAGTGTGAGGTCTTTGTTTTGTAAATATATTATATGATTCTTTTTTATCTTGAACCTTATAAGTGAAGAACAAGGGCCTTTGACATTAATAGATAACACTTTTCCTTCAGCAATAGTTAAGTACAAGTGAAGTAAAATTGATTTGTCCCGAAATATAAAGCTCCCAGTTCAATGTCTTTTGTTGTCCTTTCTGATAGGACCCATTTCTCCCTTATATGTTTACTTTTTACTTAATCTACTGCTCCAGATAAAGCCTATTAGTAATGCTACCCAGGCTTTAACTTCAGAATACCTGAAAAAATATGTACAAATAACTTTACATGAGTTAATTAAAAATTATTGAGCTGCCTTCACAACCAAATGGACAGGAAATATTTTTCCCATGAACAACCAAGGATTTTGCCAGTCCTCGGGCTGTCAGCCCTTGCCATTTGAATGGATGATGTATCTCAAACACTGGGACATCCTGAAACATCAGTCTTTTTATTACTAAAACTCAAAGGTTAAGGAAGAATCTAATTTTCTAACTTGACATTAAACAGGATATTAAAATACATACTTCAATTTCATGTCATCCACCTCAAAAGCAGTAGAGCATATTATTCTCATTTTTTTTAGACATAAATCAATAAATAGTGAAATGCTATCCCACTAATACAAAATTTCCTCTCTAGCCAAGTCTATGTTCCTGGATAGATTCACCAACATTACTAATCACTCTTACCTGTTCTTTTTGACAATACAAATTAAATTTTCTCCCAAAATTTTTATTGCTTAGTACCTTAAACCGACATATTTACTATACAGTTTGCATGCTTGCTAGTGTGCAAACTACATCTATGTTCCAATATTACAACTCTATTCATGATCCATATCCTAATGAGGAAAAATGGTAAAACTTTGTTGGAGAAAAATGAACAGTGTAACAGAGTGTTATTTCATGTTTAGAATCTGACTCTCCAAAACGTAGTTGCTGCAATCATAAAAACAACATGTTGGGAAGGGAAGGAAGAGATGACCTTTATCTGGATTAATTTTATTAATAGTCCCACAGTTTCCCTTTTCTCCTCAGGGTACCTGGGGTAATGGCAAAGGATAACTTGGGTTAGCATGCAAAGCAATGGAGTTTGCTTAAGAATACAACTCTTTGTAGCCTGAGTGGTTTTGAATACTTGAGTTAGTAGGCCTTAACTTTCTGGTTTTTACATTAATTTGCTAATTAAGAGTTTTGTCTGCTAAAGCAGTTTTGTTACCTGTTTGAGGTTTTGTTTTTTTTTTTTTTTTGTGGGGATGGTGAGGGAGTGTTATTTGGTATATGAGGAGGAGTGTGAAAAGAGCAGAAAAGGGCAGAATGAATTAGAAAAGTCAGGGGTTGTTAGTAATTTTCAGCTTACTTTGCAGAACCTCAAGGGGGTAGGTTATAAGGAAAAGCAGGGAATTAATTCTTAGGAGGTGTAAACGGGACTAGGGACTGCATACAGGATAAGCGTACAGCAATGGAGGAAGCGAAGCTCGAGGGTCTGTGATCTGACACAACAAACAAAAAACCCACCTCTTAGTCCTTGTCCCTTAATGTTAATAGAAGGATAGGTTGAGAAGGCATGAATGATGGGCTGAGAGCCAAGTACAAAGAGGTGGGAAAGAAGGGACTGATGGCAGTACTGTACCAGGTGGAAAAAATTAGAGAAGAATCATGACCTTCATTGGAAAAATTACTGCTGGGTAATTCCCAGATGAGTTAGATTAGTAGAGTTGGAGGATAATTGAATTATATCCTTTTCTTTCCTTGTATTTATCCATAGGTCTGTAATCATCGAGCAGTGGTGGATTTTACTGCCTTCTGAATGGCATGTATGCCTTCTACCAGTTCCAATATGAAACTAGTTACTTTTTTATCTCATGGGCAAGTCTCAAGCTCCAGAGCAAAATTTGCTTAAATAATCCTTGAAATTGCTTGGGAACCTAGCCACAGAGCTGAAGAATGTGAGCCTTTCCGAATAATGAAATTCTAATTTAAAGCTAAAACTGAAGCACAAAAGATAGTTCGAGATACACTGTGGCTTTTCATAGGCGATGACAAACAATATTAATTTCAAGATTTTTTTCTACTGGCTATTAGGTATACTTAAGAGTATCAGAAACAGTTTCTATGTTCAGTCAATTTGAAGAGCTTTGTCTATGGTTTTAAGACTACGTGGCATTCTCAGACGGATATATCCAGAGTAAAAGTTAATTGTAAACTTAAAGGGGAAATGGAATTTACATTTATCCATCACCTTGTATTATTATGCCATCACTTTGACAGAATAACAGTCCTAGCACCACTTGATTGAAATTGCAGGTTTATCAAAATAAAATAAAAAGGAACTGTTCTCAATGTAATATGAACAGTAAACACAAAAGTAAAGCAATCAACTTGTTAAAAATTCCCCAAAGATCGCCAAATAAGAATTTTGCAGATCAATTTTTTTTTTTTTTAGAAATGATTGGATTTTAAGGAAAACAATATAATTTTTTTCATCAAATATACATGGATTACAGATACATAAATGTATTGTCCCAAAAGGACTTCTTTCTGAAGTCTTTAAACTAAATGCCTTTAACATGCTCCTACTACCTGTAAGTCTTGGGGCACACAGTATGCTATAGAAGAAAATTATTAGTTAAAATCAATGCATTGTAACAATTTATTTCAGTTATTATCAGCTGATACTTGGAAGTGTATGACACTAGTCTGAATTCACAGAATCACAGAATGTTAGGGACTGAATGAAACCTCGAGATCATAGAGTCCAACCCCCTTGCCAAAGCAGGACCATCTAATCTAGGGCAGGTCACACAGGGAATCTAGGGCAGCTCACACAGGAGCCCTAGCAACTTTTTAATTACTGCTGTTATTTAATACATACTTGAAATGGTATAAGTAACCATCAGGACATAGGAGAGTTTCTATGCCAAAATTCCTGAGTGCCAAGTTTTTATCTGGAGTTTCCAGTTAGCTTCTGTATTTATGATAAATGCAATTAGTATTTATCTGTCGCTGCCATTTCTCCAGCTATTTTCTCCTTCTGTTTGGTTAGAAGTCCCTTGGGACAGAGAAAATGGCTGAAAATGGAGAAAAACAAATTGGTCTTCCTTTTCAAGGAAAGCTGTGCAGGGTGGTATGACATTGCCTTTAATGGAAAAACCTCTCAGCCATTGTATATAGCAATATGTGGTATCCGACAATACTGTCTTCTCCTTAAAGTCTCCTGAGAGTATCTCCAGGGCTACTGCATCAGAAAAAGGAACTCCATTGTCTAAAGTCACCAGAAAAGATCCATTAGTGAAGAAATTTACGGCATATATTTCCAATTTTTCCTGTGTTCTGTGCAATTCACGCTGCTTTTCCAATCTTCTATAGCAAAACAGTTTTGAAGATAATCTAGGATGTCCTACTAATAAAGGAACTCATGGTAACACCTTCTGAATCTTTTATACAGTTAAAAAAAATGTTCAAGGGAGACAATGGTTGCGCAGAATGTATTCGGTCTCAAAGGATGCAGATCAAGTAACACTGGTTGCTTATTCTGTTATTTTTGAGACATGTATAGCTTGTTTCTTACTCTGCATGCTGATTTTTCCTTGGCAACAAAATTATCTCTAGCTTCCTTCAACAGTCTCTGTTACTGCTGTTAATGTCCTTTTTCTTTATGTCCTTTTCAGTTTCCCAGATTCTAAAAAAATCATTAGATTTTTGAACATGTTGCACCTAGAAAAGGAAGCACTAAATGTGTGGAACTTGTCCTGTGTAATTAGCAGGTTGGAGTGACAGACCACAGCTCTTTCTTTATGTGACAGGTTTTTGCTTCACAGAGAACATCTTGTAGAGGTTGCACTGGTCCTTTATTTAATGCTAAATCCTTAAAGAAACTAATCTATGGATCCTCAATAATCTACAATGGTTCTTGTGTTCATTTTGATAAAGGTAGCTCATTCCTTGAAATAGAGCATTTTTAGCCACTTTTATATACTAAGTTGTTTGTTGAAATACAACATATGTATAAAAGAAGTTTGTCCATCAAAGAAATAGCATTTGCAGCTCAGAGAAATATCTTCTGAAACATTAACATTACAGATGGTAGAATATGGAACCAATTTTACGAAGGCCTTAACAGGCTGTGTTTTATTATTT